GCTCAATCTCTTTCTCTATCTCTATCTTTCTCTCTCTCTCTCTCTCTCTCTCTCTCTCTCTCTCTCTCTCTCTCTCTCTCTCTCTCTCTCTCTCTCTTGTTTTGTTTCTGCGCTATTTCCATAAAACACGAATCTCGTCCTCCCAAAGTATTGTTCGTCTCATGCCTTACAGCAATTTGTTTTCATTGTTTCTCAGTTATCAATCGCGAACGAGGGCAGATTCAAAATGGCGCCGAATGCTCACACAAAAGGTGACAGATCTAAAAACAAAGACTGGCAATGCATGTGAACAGGGAGAACAAAATTCCAAAACATCGCAATATTGAAAGAGTAATGAAAAGCACAGCAAAACCAACTATGAAAGCTGATGAATATTTCAGTTAATTAATTTACGAAAAAATCCATGTAAAAGAATTATTGAAACGAGCTGATGTGTACGCTTACAACTGTAGAGAGATAAAGAAATCAATGCCCCATCTCTCATATGAACAAAACCATTTCGCATATGTGGCACGACGCGGTAAAATCAGGCACTCGTCAATTTTTGGTCATGTAAAGTTATTAATATCGTCTTAACTCATTGAGGCCGCGTATTTTGGTTATTCTACAACGCTTAGAGATACGCTGTTTTAAGATATAACTTCAACATTTGAAAAGATTTTTCGCTTTTTTCCCTTTATCTAAAATTCTAAAAGGTATGCAATGACATGTACGCTCTGAAGTATGTACATTTGTGGCTCCTTTTGTGTATGATGGTTCGAAATGTACCGAGACATTGCCTTTTGGTTTGCTGCTGATCAGACGTGTGTCCGCTTCGTCCTCAAAGAGTTAAAGGTTGGTCATTTGTCTTACTTTTGATGAAAAAAATATCCAGTTATCTTGAATACAAGTCGAGATATTTGCGATTGAAGGAGGTAGAGACCGCCTGGTTTCAGAAGTAAAATTAGTGGAAATGACTGCCAAAGTTTTGTTATTTCTTTAGCTTGAGAGTCCATTGGAACAGAAAATTTACCCTTTTTGTGCCTTTAATCAACATTTTTCAGTGCTATCCACACAGAAATGGGTTCTTTATTGGACAAGGAAGAGCCAAAAACTAAAAATTCAATAAAAATTCCCAAACCTGCGAAAAAATGCCAGTTTTTTCAGTTTCATTATTTTGACGAGCGTCTGATTTCACCACACTGCCTCACCTATTGTTTTAAACGGTAACGGGATCTTCTGGATGTCGGGATCGATAGGCTCAGAGATCAACGATCATTCAACAGCGGAAATGGCCCGTTTGCTTAAAACTGATAAAAAGAGTAAATTTTTCCGGACCAAAAACAAAACATCCAGGAATGTTCCAAACATGAACAGGATCCGGCAATATGGGAAAAGAAACATCTTTTAAAAACAAAACCCTTTAAAAACTGAGTATTACTCAAACTGCGCTCTGTTATTGATGATGATGATGATGATGATGATGATGATGATGATGATGATGATGATGATGATGATGATAATAATAATAATAATAATAATAATAATAATAACAACAATAATTTCAACAATAACCATAATAATAACAATAATGATAATAATTCGTATGGCTCATGCATATCCCCGTTCAACAGCAAGCTCTATACACTTCATAATCCATATTGTTAGGGAAGAAATTGAAGAGTTCTAAAACCGAGCATCTGACAGGAACACATTATAATAATGAGAACCAACGTTTGGGAAAACGACACTGTCACACCATAATGTGTCACGACGCAGTGGAATCAGCCGCTCGTCAATTTTTGGTTTGTGCAGTTATTGGTATCATCTGAAAGTTTGTTCATTTGTCTATCTTCCTACGAAACAAATACCCGTCTATCTTGAACAGAAGTCGAGATATTTGTGTTTAAACCAGATAAGGTTGCCTGGTTTCAGTGGTAAAATTAGCGAGAAAATGGCTGCCAAAGTTTTGTAACCCCAATGGCCACAGATTCCTTGAAAAAAATGTTTGCCTTTAATCAATGTTTATCGCTAAAATTCACACGGAAATGTGTTTTTATATAAAAGAGGTTGAGCGAAAAAACTAAAAATTCAACACAAATTTCCAAATCAGCGGAAAAAATGCCCGTTTCTCCGATTTCGCTAATTTGATGAGTGCCTGATTCCACCACGCTGTGTCACATAATATGACAAACTTTGTAATGTACCCCAGAGCTCAAGCACGTGCTTTCAATAATGTAAGTCAATCTGCCACGCAGTGGTTTCTGCATTGTTTCAAATGCTATTTCGGTAAATTTCATTATGTGACTTGATGCTTCCACAAAACAAAATCAGTTTAGTCCATCAAACTTTGAGATAGATCTACTGAGAAATTTTAATGTGCCACTCCTCAATGATTTTTTTTCCAACACCAAAAGACCACTTGACAAAATTAATTCTTTTCGCTGATTATATTTACTTAAAATAAGTTAATTGTCTTTGCTTTCCTTGAGGTGGGGTGGGGGTCGGGTTGGGGGGGGGGGCAACGGAATTGGTGAGAGAACTTTCAGAAAGAAAACTATTTTATGAAACCTCTCAAAACCTTCGTGGAATGACGTGCTAAAACGCCCTGAAGCATGCTCATGGAGTCGACCAACACTGAGGTGTCTCCATCAAAACCCGAACACCTTCAGCCACCAGCATTGACAACTTGCGTATTTGACACAAAGCACAGCTGATTAAAGCCTGTAAATTCTTTGTCATTTCGACAGGACGAAGGGCTAGAACCCAAATGGCCGCTGGATCGGAAAAGTAAAGTAAAGTAAAAGTAAGTGTATTTGACAAGAAAAGTCTAGAAAATCGAGAGCCATCAACACCATATTCAAAACGCAAGAAGAAAAAAAAAAAAGAAGCAAAATCTCGAACAGCCCACACCGCACACTTGGCATAATGTACATGATGTACAACGTATAATAATATTATTGTTTCTGGTTCCTTTTTTGTCTTGAGCTTGGTTCGAGTTGCGATCTGTATTCGAGAAATAAAACATCATTTCCTGTAAAGAGCACTTGATCCACTGACAAGGACTCGACTCAGCAGGGCTGATCGAGTGATTGCACGAACTGAATTGTGCAAAAAAAAAGTTGTAATGTTGGGGGTATTGCGTTTCAACAAGTAAAAAAAAACAAAACAACCCCCCCCCCGAAAAGAAAAACCCAAAAACAAAACAACCTGACTGAATTCTGAATGCCCGCATTTCAGAAAGTAAGCCATTCGTGCCACCCCTCCCCTCCCCCTATTTCCCTGTTGAAAAATAGTGCACGTTACGTTTCTATTGGAACAATCAAGTTGATGATGAGGCGTATGCGGTGATGTGAAAACAATCCCTCTTTTCCTCGCGAAACAAAGGATCACATTAAGCTGTGGGGCGGAGCATGTAGACAAAAGCGACGCGAGGCCATCATCATTGATGAAATGGATAGAAAGAATGAAATCCGACAAGGCTTCAAGCAAGGAGATCTCGCAGTAACGACAATAAGTAATAAGAAAAATTCCCGACGAATGAAAGATATGGTGCAATTTATATTGTAATGTGAGAAAGAACATATAACTACTCTAGGCAAAAAGAGATTGAAAAAACTAACAAAACAAAAACAAAAAACAAATAAACCGATAAATCCCATAGAAAAAACAATAGAATAAGAAGAATAAATGGTGGAAATGTGATCTCGTGAATGATGACGACTTGATGGCAACAAATTGGATGGGCAAACGGTAAAGAGGTAGGGGGTGTTCAGTGAGGAATTGGCCATGGCATTATTTTGATTGAGGAATGTGTACGAGGGTAAGAGTTGACTTTGAGCGTGGGCTCGCCCGCTTGTGCGTGCGTATGTGTGTAAAAGAGGGAGGGGGAGGGGGTGAGG